AATCTCCTTTAACATCTGTACATCATTTAAAATTCGATTTTAAAATGATTCCTAAGCCTCCACTACAACCTATCTTCTCCACCCACTAGTAAGACATCAATAGACCTGTTGACATACAAAAGGAAAAATAAGAAAAAGTTAGAAAATGGAAAAATAATAAACTACACAATATTGGAAATAGCCACAAAGTAAACCACTTGTGAAACAAGTTGTTTCCACTTGAAATCCACTCGAAGAACAAGAATAGAAAAGAATCCTATTTTTAAAAATTTTCTATGTGTTCAATAATACTGTTTAGATTTAAACAGTAAAAAATGTATACACCTTGTATATAAATGAAATAAAAATAACAAATGTATGGTTGTAGCTACTTCCATAGATGTGCGATTCTGTATACCACAAAATAGCCACAATTTTCTTTATGTGTATTTCCTTAGAGGTAAATAAATGTAGCATATTATACTATGACGATGAGTATATCCATGCAGGCATCAGATCAAATAAAACAGCAGCAACAGCAGTCAATTGAACTCACTTTAAGGTGAAAATGTAATTTTCAATTTTAATCTACTTTGAAAGAGAAAATCATGAACATTTCAAGTGCACGTATGGAATACACTTTCAAGTTGATTATTTAAGTAGAAAAAGTAGGTTGTATGTACTATTTGAAATTAGAATCTGAATTAAAGAAAATATTTGATTTTACTTTGTTTTTCTTTAGCTTAAAATCCTAGAAAACCCCTACATATTTGTATAGTACATTGGTAATGTAAAATATATTCTAGCCTAGATTATTGTATACTACAGACTAGACTTCAGTTGGGACTATAGACTATACATGAGTATGGACTGTTGGCCTATATTTCGATTATTCTCTAAATTATTGACTACAATATAAAATCTTTACTTACCCGGTAAATAGGCAAGTAATATTGGAGGAAAGTGTAAGTACTTACTTTATGGGTGAATAACTACTTATTTTTGTTCGACGATGACCAAAAGATAAGTGGTTACAAATGTGCTTACCCGACTTTCCTGGATTTAAAACCGGCTTTACAGTTATTTTCTGTGATTATTAGTCTATTCTCTAACTCGTTGCTCCATTTACAAGATATTTTATCGTGCTATTTGGAATGGTTTTTACACAAATGTAAAATTCTAAATTTGTTCAAAAAACTTCAAATATCAACCAGGGTAACAATCATTAGGTAATTCTTTATTAGACATACGCTCTAGACGATTGGCTACAAATCCTATTAAAAAGATATTAATTAATGTTATTGATAACGACCACACATTACCAAGTAATGTATGAAATAACTACATTACCTACATTACTCATTACCAAAATTTTAAAATATTTTGCTGGGATATTCATGATTAGTGACTAGAATATATTGACTGGGATATAGACTGGACTGGGATATATAGTATGGACTATAGATTTGAATATAGATTGGAGTATAGACTTGACTATAGACTGGATTATGGACTGGATTATAGAGTGGAATGTAGACAGGATATAGGATGGAATATTAACTGGACTATATATTAGACTATAGAATGGACTCTATACTGGACTATAGAGTGGAATAAACTATAGAAGGGATTATACACTGAACTATATACTAAACAATAAGCTGGGCTTTAGACTGGATTATAGGCTAGACAATAGACTGGACAACTGACCGGAATATCGACTTGGATGAAGACAGGAATATAGAATGGTATCGATATTAATAGCTACATTATGAACTGAATTATAGACCTGAGTTTAGATTATAGACTAACTGTATGGACTTTAGACTTTACACTGGACTACAAACTAAACTATAGATTGGATTATATACCGGATTCTAGACTGGATTAAATACTGGTCTATAGCCTGAACTCTAGTATTGATTGTAGACAGGATTATGGATAGGACAATATTGAAATAATCGATACTATTGACTAGACCCTATCTCAACCATATGTCCAGACTATTAGTCCAGACTAAGTTTTAGACCATAATGTATATAAAATTTAGTCTATAGACTAAAATACTGTCCAGGCTATACACTAGTCAAGTGTCCAGGCTATTATAGGCTGACTATAGTCATACCAGAACAATGACTAGATCTTTGTCAATCAATATAACTGTAGATTTGAACTATGTTCCACCCGATTTGGGTAGAACAAATATTTTCTGATTCGAAGTATATTCTTCCTAAGAAAACTTTTTTCACTTTGAAAATCTGTCTTTTGATACGTAAAATATTGACCTTTTTAAATTGTAATAATTAAATTAATATTTTATAATACAAATACAACTTTGCCATATTAAAGAAGAAAATAAAATTAAACTACTTGTATTCAATTTACTAAGGGTTCCAAAGAGAAAACAAATTAAAAAAGGACACCCCAAATTTAAGGTTTTAAAATTAACCTTATAATTCTTCAATAAACCCCCAAATACAAAAATGAAAAGTATAAAAGGTGAATAATAGCAAGAACTCGATTATGTTATTAACAATTATTGTCAAACAGACTCAAAATCCTTTTTTCCCGGAAACAAAATTATAAAGCCAATAAGCCCCCACCTTTCAAACCTTTGAAGGGCAAAAATCTAAAGACCATAAAAAATACAAGTTTATTGAAGCAAACAACTAATGATAATGGTCTAAAAACCAAAAAACAGCCATTATTTGTGAAAGTACTTTATTTCCATTTAACACATGCTACCATCAACAACCGACCTGCTTTTTTTATACATCTATGAGACAAATTTTACGGAAAAGGAGGGGAAATTCAACTTACATAATAATTTAAACAAAATTTATGATGGTCTTAAGCAGCAACAAACAAAAATCCCCTGCTTAAGAAAAAAAGTTAAAAAAAAATTTATATGAAAATGTCAACTAAATTTAGGAAAGCGCAGGAGGAACAAAAATTATTTGTTAAGAAAAGGAAAGTTTATTTTAATACTTTAACACAAATTAAAAATTATAGTCATCTTTGTTTCTTTATTTTTCTTATTTTCCATCTTAGTGTCCTAGAGAAAAATCTTTTTGAAATTTTTTCTTGATTTCTTTTTCTGTTGCTGTTGTTGTCGCAAACAGACAACTTCATATAAAAAAACATCAAAACTTAAACCTTTTAAACGACCTTTTTTTCTTCTTTTGGATATTTGTTTGTGATACTTGTACTACTGTGGCTTCTAAATGTCTTTTTCTGTGCCAAAAGAAAAGAAGAGATGACGACGATGAAGATGAAGTAAATAAGTTTGTTCCCAAGTGTAATATTAATGTCTCAATATATTTACATTGTTTTGTTATTCTTTCGGTTTGGTTTTGCACTGAAATTCAATGTGACATTTAGTTACTTTTTTTTTCTTAAGTGTCCTTCACTTTGTAACGCTGTAATAATCAATTTCAGTTTATTGTAATGTTGGTGACACTATGTATCTACAATTTCCCTATTCTTAGGATTTAATAGTTTTAGGTCCTTTATTGTAGATTAATATGTACTCTTTCGTGATATATAATTAACCGATTATTTGTATACCCTACACCACTATAGTGGGAAGGGTATTATGAGTTTGTGCCAAAATATTGGTCGTACACCCACCTTAAAGTATACCATTCGGCTCAGAATCAAGTCCTTCTGTCTGTCCGTCCGTCTGTCTGTCTGTCTTTCCGTCTGTATGCCGATGTAAACCTTGTGCACACGCTACATGTCGCAATTTTCAAGATAATGTGATGATATTTGGCACTCGGATACATTTTTAGTTGCAATAATTTCCTTATTTATCGAAATATTTCCATTTATTGAATCCAGGCATGGGGGTAATGATTACACAAAGTAATTAATTACAAGGTCAATTACAATTACTTGTAATGTGTAATTGAAAAATAACCAATTACAATTACTTGTAATTGTAATTGAAATTTTTCCAATTCCAATTACTTGTAATGTGTAATTGACAAATAACTAATTACAATTATTTGTAATTGTAATTGAAGTTTTGCCAATTACAATTACTTGTATTTGTAATTGAAATTTTCAATTACAATTATTTGTAATTGTAATTTAGGTATTACTAATTACAAATTACATGTAATTATAAGGAACAAAATTCACAATTACAAGTAATTGTAATTTCTTCAATTACAATTACAAGTAATTGTAATTGGCGAAACTTCAATTACAATTAAAAATAATTGTAATTGGCAAAACTTCAATTACAATTACATGTAATTGGTAATGCTTCAATTACAATTACTTCAAATGTAATTGTAATTGAAAATGTAGTCATTACCCCCCAAGCCTGATTGAATCCAATTTATTTAAAACTTTTTGCGTCAAGTATATAGAGTATAACTTTTCTCACTACCACCGATTATTTTAGCACAAATTGTTTTATTTTATTTTCATTTTCGGTTTGTAGTATGTTGTAAACAGATTTATGCTTTTTTATATACTTACGTACTAGATACTCTTTTTATATCTATGTTTTACGGGTCAAATTTCAAAATAAGTAAGACAAAAGAAGAATTAAATAAATAAAAAAGGAAAAAAAAAGAATAATACATATAACAACAATTTCATTTAAAAAGCATAAATGTCATTGCAAAAGAGAAAAGGATACAACTGAACTGCTAACTCCAAACTGAAAGATACCAAGTTGAAAGTAGAACTTGAAGGTGTCAGATGTCAGTCACTTAAACTGCAGTTAAACCATTTATAACAATGACAGTAGTTTAACATTTTTTGTTTTGTACGAATAACTGGAGAAAAAAATTTAAAAGATGAGATTAATATTGATGGAAAGAAAAGTAAAAAATATGAAAAGTAAATTAAATTTATAGGGATTATTATAAATAGAGAATTTCTTCACAATTTTTCTTATAAAAGAAAATATTTTCGTTTTTTTTTTTTTTTTTAGATTATTTTTATTAAAAATAAATTTTTGAAAATATATTTAACAAATAAGTAATTTTTCGAAATTTTCGTTAAAAAGGTAGTATTTTCCATAAAAAGCTTTTTTTAAAATATTCTTTTTTATTAATGGAAAATTTACATCAAAATTTCACTGCATTATAAATATATAATTGTTAATGTGTTCATACTCTTAAACTTCTGGTAAATAATATAATTATCACAATTTGATTATACACGATTTTTTTTTATAATTTTTTCTTTGATGCTTTCTAAATAATTGTCTATTTCGGAGAATTTTCTTATAAATAAATACAATTGTATAAACATGCACTTTTTATATAAATATGTATGTATAAAAAAAATTCTTATTAAAATTTATAATTATTAAATAAACAGTTTAAGATTTCCAAACAGCAACTTTAACATTATCGCTTATAAAAACCCTGATGATGTTGATGATAATAATAATGATTCATATTTTTACAGTAATGGCCATGGACTCTATAACAACCAGCAAAACTGTTAAAATCATAGCTACAACATTTGAAACATTCAACAGGATAAAAATATTTTAGACCTAAATGGAGGAAAAGATAAAAATAGACGTAGTTAAGAAATGAAATAAAGAATAACTTCCACATACTCTATGTTTGAAGATAATTGAGTTAAAAATACATATGGGGAATTTTATGTCAAGTGCCCCAATTCCAAAAAAAATCGATTTCGACGAAATTTGCACTATTAGATAGTAGGTCAGACACAAATTTTCAGCTCTATTTGTCAAGAACTGCCGGACTTAGAGGGGGTCAAAGTTAGACATATTGGTCATACAGGGTTGTATTCTAATGAGTGTAACTTTTCACCTATTGGTCCTAGGTAAAATTGTCCAAAGGAGTTCAGATAGTTATTTCTTCATTCTTTCAAATTTTTTTTTTTTTTTTTTTTTTTTTTTTTTGCTTAAAGGAAAGCTTATACAATTTCCTTAAAGGTCTTTACAGTCCCATGCAAGTGAGATATCCATCAAAAGAATTATTTTTTAACTCAATAATAAAATTTTTTTAAATATTTGGCACTTAATTTTCCCCTATTTTTTCAAAATGGACGTTTCTGTTGTATTTTTTTTGCTCAAGACCTTGGTGCAAATTTCATCCAAATCAGAAGACATCGATTTTTAAAGTTGTGTCACTTGACACGAAATTCCCCATATTTAAATTTTTTTTTATATACAATACTACTATGTTTGGATTGTATTTCTCTCTATATGAAGGATTTACAAGTATTAGAAAACTTTCATAATATTAAACAAATTTTTAATCCTATTAATGAAAAGTTTAATTGAACTATGGCAATGACTTACCTTTACAAGTCCATCTCAGTTGAGCATTACCATATTGCTTTTTAAAATAACATTTAAAGCTGCCAGAATAATCAGGATATCTGGGATAAAATGGATAATTGGGAGCTGGAGTTGTTGTTGTCGTACTTGTCGTAAAGGGTGAATCGGTAGCAGGCGAAGTTGGAATATCATTTTGTATCGTAGTAGAAGGAGCTAATGTGGTTGTTGTAGTTGTGGGTTCGGGAGTTGTAGTTGCTTCAGTTGTAGTTGTTGTTGCTTCTGTTGTTGTGGTGGTCGCTTCCGTTGTAGTAGTCGTTGCTTCTGTAGTTGTGGTGATCGTTTCCGTTGTAGTTGGTTCTTCTGTTGTAGTTGGTTCCGGAGTTGTTGGTTCTGTTGTGGTTATAGGTGGCCTTGTTGTTATGTCCCAATCTGGTGGTGGCATATCTTGCGTTACTACCGCCACCACCAATAAATTGAGAATTATTAAGTATTTAAACTTAAAGAAAATAATATATCAATTGCTTTTCTATTTATCAAATTTAAGTGAAATCTTTGTGCCCGTATTGAGAAACAGAAACGCATTTTTTAAATCTTATATGAAAATCAATTTTAATTTCTTTTCATGTTTCTGAATACGTTTCTTAATCTATTTACCATAGTTTTGTTTTTTTTTTTTTTTAATAAATAATTTCAATTATTTTGCAATATCAATTTTATAGAGGTTTTTCCGTTGTGTTTTCTTTGGCACGTTTCGTTTTAAACTGAAAACAATTCCATTTGTTTATTTCTTCCGAAGTGTGCGAGAAGCCTTTTCGTTTGATATTTTGTTGTACTTCGATTAAATTTTCGGAGAAGCACCAGTAAATAGCAACAATTAAACAGATCAGTTTATTTACTTTAGACGGGGAAGATAGGAAGACAAAATGTTGATCGTTTATAAATGCCGTAGTTTGTAGCTTATCGTTATTCCTCAACCTTAATATGATTCCAAATTTCAGGGTGTTTATTTATCACCATTTTCCCTCATATGTTTCATACTACATTTTATTTGTTTTATTTTTCATTCATATATATTTTTACTGATAATTCCTTACAGTTTTTTGCAAAATAATACTATGAGACATTAAACAATTATCATGATGATGGTATTTACGAAATACTGTCAGCCTGCTTAACCGCTGTCAATATTAATGACGTTAATTCTACTACAATTAAAAAAAACTTGTAACGAAATGTTTAAAACATTAAACTTTAAAAAAAAAACAGAAATAATTTGAAAATTCCCTACTAACTACTGATAACATTTTCTAGAGTATTTATTTGTATGATCATTTCTCATGGTCGCTTTCTAGATGCAAGAGATCTAAAGGAATAAAAACTTTTTTCGGAGATAATAATAAAATTAAACTAAGTTAAAGGAACACTCTTAAGACTTGTTTTAATTTTTTGTTAATTATTTAAAATTTGAATATGTATAAAAAGAAGTGAGTTTATCGATTATTTCGTTAAAAGTTGAAATTTTCAAATATTTTAGCAAAAACTTACATTGAAAAGTAGGGAGTTAGGTTAGCTAATTAGTCAGCTAGTTAGTTAGTTAGTTGGTTAGTTAGTTAGTTATTTAGTTAATTAGTTAGGTAGTTAGTTAGTTAGTTAGTTAGTTAGTTAGTTAGTTAGTTTGTTGTTAGTTAGTTAGTTAGTTAGTTAGTTAGTTTGTTAGTTGTTAGTTAGTTAGTTCGTTAGTTAGTTATTTAGTTAGTTAGTTTAGTTAGTTAGTTAGTTAGTTAGTTTTGTTAGTTAGTTAGTTAGTAGTTAGTTAGTTTCGTTAGTTATTAGTTAGTTAGTTAGTTATTAGTTAGTTTAGTTAGTTAGTTATTAGTTAGTTAGTTTAGTTAGTTAGTTCGTTTATTAGTTAGTTTTAGTTAGTTAGTAGTTCGTTAGTTAGTTAGTTCTAGTTATTAGTTCGTTCGTTCTTTTAGTTAGTAGTTATTTCTTCGTTAGTTCGTTATTAGTTAGTTATTTAGTTCGTTCGTTAGTTATTTTTTTTTAGTAGTTAGTTCGTTCGTTTAGTTCGTTCGTTAGTTAGTTAGTTCGTTAGTTAGTTGTTAGTTCGTTCGTTCGTTAGTTAGTTCGTTCGTTCGTTAGTTCGTTTTCGTTCTGTTCGTTCGTTTTTCGTTCGTTCGTTCGTTCGTTTTTCGTTCGTTCGTTCGTTCGTTCGTTAGTTTTCGTTTTTAGTTTTTCGTTCGTTCGTTCGTTCGTTCGTTCGTTCGTTTCGTTCGTTCGTTCGTTCGTCGTTCGTTCGTTCGTTCGTTCGTTCGTTCGTTCGTTCGTTCGTTCGTTCGTTCGTTCGTTCGTTCGTTCTTCGTTCGTTCGTTTTCGTTCGTTCGTTTTCGTTCGTTTTCGTTCGTTCGTTCGTTCGTTCTTCGTTTCGTTCGTTCGTTCGTTCGTTCATCGTTCGTTCGTTCGTTCGTTCGTTCGTTCTTTCGTTCGTCGTTGTTGGTGGTTTTCGTTCGTTCGTTCGTTCGTTCGTTCGTTCGTTCGTTCGTTCGTGTTTTGGTGTTCGTTTAGTTGTTTGTGTTATTTTATTAGAGTTTAAGAATATATGCACCAGCCAATGTTTTGAAACTCAGTTCCTTGGGCTAGTATACCTTAGAAGTTAGTACCAAATACATATTTGAATCTAGTTTCTGTTAAAACCTAAGCAATGACAGAGTAACATTCCCCGTATGCAGTACATTCTTTTTGAATTCTATTTAGGTACTAACCTTTGACTTATTCTTTCCAGACCTGGGCGATTTCCATTAATTTTGCATTAACATTAAATTAAAAAAAAATTAATTTTATGTAAAAATATTGCATTAACATTAAATTTGTAAAATTTAATGCATTAAATTTCCATAAACATTAAATATTTTGAATTTAATGCATTAATTTTACATTAACATTAAATATTTTGAATTAATGCATTAATATTAATATATGTGAATTTAATGCATTAATTTTACATTAACATTAAATAAGCAATAAAATTAATGCATTAATATTCCATTAACATTAATATATATCAAAATTGATAAACATAAATAAAAATATAGCACAAAAGACCTCGATCAAACTAAATACAACTAAAATTAATAGGTTAATAACTCCTATATTCCATTCAAACTTGTGTGTCTTAAATATGATATTTATATAAGATTCCACAGACAAAAACTATAAAAGGAATATCTGGGAAGTGATACTATTCTTCTAAAATGTATTATCGAGTATAGGACTTATTAGGAAGGACTTTAACAAAATAAACTAAAAAAGGAATATCTGGGAAGTGATACTATTCTTCTAATATGTATTATCGAGTATAGGACTTATTAGAAAGGACTTTAAAACATTCAATTTTACTTGAATTTAGTTAGACCGAGGTCTTTAGCGCTGTATTATTTTTCTTATTTTTATAAATTATTTTATACATTAATGTTAATGGAAAATTAATGCATTAATTTTATTATTTATTATTTAATGTTAATGGAAAATTAATGCATTAAATTCAAAAATATTTAATGTTAATGTAAAATTAATGCATTAATTTCACAAATATTTAATGTTAATGTAAAATTAATGCATTAAATTTAAAAATATTTAATGTTAATGCAAATTTAATCCATTAAATGTACCCATGTTAATGCAGTAAACTTGCATTAACATTAATTTTTTTTAATGTAGAAAAAATTGTTAATGCATTAACACATTTAATGCATTTATCCCAGGTCTGATTCTTTCTCAGTAGACTTTTCATACTGTTCTCTCTCTTTTTCATCAAAATGAAAAACTCTATTTTTATAAAAAATCGATAAATTTTTATAAAAAGAAATTTGCAATGTTTCTATTTAAACGATAACGTCTCTAAATTGCTAATAAAACCAGAAATTTTTGATTAAACTGTTTTTTAAATCATTCCTATAAAAATTTAAATTTTCTTTATAATTTTAAGAGGATTTTTTTAAAATTTTTTTCTACAAATAATGAATTGTTCGAAAATTGTTGAAATTCTCGAACATATTATATGTAGCATTTCTTCGAAAATTAATAATATTAAAACTAACACTATTAAGCTTTGTTTAAGTTTCTTGTTAATTCATTACTTTAAATATCTGCCTTTTTTAAAACTTCCCCTTAAGTGTTAAATAATATTAAAGATTTTACACTTATATTTTAATTTGCTTTTAATACAAAGTCTGCCCTCACAATTCCAAAATTGTTAAAACTGATAAGTGTCATTTACAAAATAAATTCATACGTAATTTGCATTTGTATATATTTTTTTGTTTTAAATTTTATTTCTATTAACAATTGTTGCATTATTCGCCAACTAAGTCAAGATTATTGAAATGTTTTTTTTTCGGTTCCATTATTCATCCATAAATGCAATTTTCAGGTTCATTTACAAATTCTATTCAATTTCCTATGCTTTAATTGTAATCGAATACGAGTGAGAATTTTTATTTTAATATATTAGTTTTTTAATGAATCAACTGACCACAATAATTATTATTATTATTATTTTCAATAAATAATTTAGTTTTGTTATCAATCCTAATGTATGTGTGTGTAATTTTATTAAGAATAATTTCTGAGTTTTCTGTTTATTATGTAAACAATAATTGAATTCATTATGACGTTTCTTGTTTTTTTGTTTGTTTTAGCAACTGATACTATTAGTTATTAATACAAAAAATAATATTAATTTTTATTGTGATTCATTATGTATCTAAATTTGTAGATTTGTGTCACTTATTTTTAGTTTGTATTTATTTTATTAATTGTGTGGTTTACAAGATTTTAAAATATTTGTTATAAACAACATCTGTTAACACTAATTGTTAGTTAAACATTTTTTTACAATTGTTTAATTGGAGTTTTTTTAATATATCTTTATGGATTTTTAGAGATTTTCAAAAATACCTTGACTATTCATACATATATATGAAACATTAAATATTGTTTTCTACCCCAGATAACTTTACTTGACAATCAGTTTAATTTGAAGTATTAAATTGGTGTTTTTTTTTGGTTAATTGGTGACATAAGTCTAATAAGTATATAGGGCAATTCCACAGACATTTCGACCACTTCAAATTTTCAATCCTTTCGATTTAGTTATAACTCGAAACGTATATTCTACTCTTAATTGCGGTTTTTATGGCGTATAAATTGGATACTTATACGGTTCATATTTTATGGGTCTCTAAAGTAGGGCATGTCGGGTATTTTTGTTCAAAATTATAAACTTTTAAACTAGTTATCCGATTTTAACAAATGATGTTTCATTCGACAGGACTCCGATAACTCCGATAACTTTTTGACATTTCATTAAAATTACATGAAGTGTTGGCACAAGGACCATAAGGTGGAAAATGTCCTTTATTCTTGAATATCTTAAAAAATTATATTTTGTTTTTTTTTTAATTTTTTATGACAAATAGACAAAATTATTGTAAATTAAGGTATTAATCATAGAAAAGGTATACATAGAACTGAAACTGAGTATGGCAAAACCTAAGTCTGCTGTGTAAAACCTAAGTCGTGAGAATATATTAGTTGAAAAATATATAACCCAACAAACACAAATTCTATCGTTTACAAAGTTTTTATATTTTTATTTGATATTATATTCCGATATTTTATGAAATAATAGTTTGAATATATATTTTTATTCAATATCAGTTGACCCATGTAAGAAAAATCTTCATTAAAAATTATTCTTAATTTTAAATAAACTCTTTGTGTTTGCTGGGTTGGACCAATATTCTGTGGTATTAATGCCAATTAAAGTAAAAATTACCACAGACCATCAACTTAATGTTATAAATATGATGGTAAATAATATCTGAAATCATGTCTTATATAATTGAAATATTGGAGGTCATAGGTCAAAATAATAAATTTTTTGATATATCTCCCTTTTCGTACATCCTACGGATTTAGGGGAAAATTTGTAGAGAATAAAATTTACGGCATTTTGACTTCAGACAATTTTTTCGTATTATCAGCCGTTTTAGAGTTATAGTCATTTTTCGTTTATTTGAGATATGTTTTTCTAACCTCAATTATTTTTTTGTACTACAATCGTCATTGTGATAATTTTTGTACCGCCTTTAGTAAGGAACACATATAACTATTTAATTATACTTTTCGCCTCAAAGTTATCTCTGACCCATAGTGCGATCTTTTGTAATGTAAATTTTTAAATAAAGTTGTAACTGAGCGACTTTTCGAAGTCTTAAAAACGACATAATGAAAATAACAATACCCAAAGTGCTTCGCTACCCTCTTAACCTTCATTATTGTAAGCCCGTTTACAAAATTTTAAGACTTTTTCTGTTATTATTTCCCTGATAGATCCCAATTTACGTTGAAAAGGTATGTCCCGATCGTTAAAAAGTTTACGCAGTTTTCGATATTTATTATAAACATAATTTTAAATTTATTAACAAAATTTTTGATGATGGCTACCACGTAGTGATAGGGCCTAATTTTGAATTGAGTAATATGTAATCAAATCAATCCGAAGCGGTTTAAGAAGTACAGTTTTTCATAGAACAAGTACAAAATACTTGATTCAAGTACTGATCCGTTATGAACGAAAACCAGATTTAAGCTTTGAAATGCTTACTTGATTTAAGATAAACATAAGTTGATAATTGAGTATTAGAGTATATAATCAGAAAATGGGCTTAATTTGAGATCGATTCGTACTTGATTCAGAATTCAGAACATTTCAGCAAAAAAGTTATAAAAAAATGTTTAAATTACTAATACACATTAACAATAAAAAAAACTCAAAAACTTTTTGCAAAAATATTCTTAACTAAATGAGAATTATATGTCAGAAGGCGATTTAATGTATTTTCAAATTAAGTAAGAACTAAGATTAAAAAGATTTAATTGTAACTCGCATTAACATAGAGGTGACACACCAATTATTGATAGTTCCTATATTCGTATGGATATTATAGGTGTTACCGTTAAGCAGTGAGTTTTCCAGATATCTGAATTTTGGTATATAATTCATATGGGAGGTACCCACTGTTTATACCCTACACCACTATAGTGGGAAGAGTATTATGCGTTTGTGCTGATGTTTGTAACGCATTAGAATATTAGTACTAAACCCACCTTAAAGTATACCGATTGACTCAGAATCACTTTCTAAGTCGATTTAACGATGTCCGTCCGTCCGTGTGTCCATGTAAACGTTGTTATCAAAGTACAGGTCGCAATTTTCATGATAATTTGATGAAATTTGTTAAAATCGGTCCATTAAATGAAAATGGTTAAAATCGGTTCATTATTTCACCTAGCCCCCATACAACTGAAGGGGGCTTTGAGCTCATAATTATGTATAATATAAATGTATCTGGATGAAAGTTCGCACAACTAAGTTTTATACAAGCCTTGATGACCTTGTCGAATTTCGAAATGATCGGACTTCATTTGACCCTACCCCCATACAAAGCCCCCTTCAGAAAGTGACTTGAATATCCGCAATTCATTTCTTAGCACTGTTATTGCAATGAAATTTAGCACAGACAAATATTATATAAATACACATCTATCCAGCCCATTTTATCGGGATCGGTCCACATTTGCTCCTATCAGACCTGGGATAAATGCATTAAATGTGTTAATGCATTAACAATTTTTTCTACATTAAAAAAAATTAATGTTAATGCAAGTTTATTGCATTAACATTAACATGGGTACATTTAATGCATTAAATTTGCATTAACATTAAATATTTTTAAATTTAATGCATTAATTTTACATTAACATTAAATATTTGTGAAATTAATGCATTAATTTTGCATTAACATTAAATATTTTTGAATTTAATGCATTAATTTTTCATTAACATTAAATAATAAATAATAAAATTAATGCATTAATTTTCCATTAACATTAATGTATAAAATAATTTATAAAAATAAGAATACAGCGCTAAAGACCTCGGTCTAACTAAATTCAAGTAAAATTGAATGTGTTAAAGTCCTTTCTAATAAGTCCTATACTCGATAATACATATTAGAAGAATAGTATCACTTCCCAGATATTCCTTTTTTAGTTTATTTTGTTAAAGTCCTTTCGAATAAGTCCTATACACGATAATACTTATTAGAAGAATAGTATCAATTCCCAGATATTCCTTTTTTAGTTTATTTTGTCTGTGGAATCTTATGTAAATATCATATTTAAAACACACAAGTTTGAATGGAATATAGGAGTTATTAGAAAGGACTTTAACCTATTTAATTTTAGTTGTATTTAGTTAGATCGAGGTCTTTTGTTTATGTTTATCTTTATTTATGTTTATCAATTTTTATATATATTAATGTTAATGGAATATTAATGCATTCATTTTATTGCTTATTTAATGTTAATGTAAAATTAATGCACTAAATTCAGATATATTTAATGTTAATGCAAAATTAATGCATTAATTTCAAAAATATTTAATGTTAATGTAAAATTAATGCATTAAATTCAAAAATATTTAATGTTAATGGAAATTTAATGCATTAAATTTTACAAATTTAATGTTAATGCAATATTTTTTACATTAAATTTATTTTTTTTTAATTTAATGTTAATGCAAAATTAATGGAAATCGCCCAGGTCTGGCTCCTATACCCCATATAAAGCCTCTTTTATGAAAAATAAATCACATTTAATATTCATAACTGGTGTAGGGTATCATATGGTCGGCCAAGCCCGACTACACTTTCTTACTTGTTTTGTTTTGAAATATTCATATTGATACTAAAGTTTTAGTTTTAGACAGTTTTCCAAATGTTCGAAGTTTGGTATGCACACTATTGATGGTCCAACCATTTCTTAAAATACAATATTTTGGCAACTCGACAGCAGACTGAAATGTATGATAACTTTTTGCTTATTTAAATTTTATAAAAAATCAATTCAAAGTCAAATAACGTTTATTGTATCAAATATTTGATTAATGTGAACATTATATGTTTATAAACGATTTAGTGAAGCATGTTTCTAGGAGCTAATAATATATTTGTTAAAATTAATTTAAAACGATTTAAAATAATTGCATATTGTATTGAGAAATAAATTAAACTCGAAATTACAACGATTCATAAAAAAAATATTTTAAAAAATTTAATCTAATTTAATTTAAAATATTAATCAAATTTTCTATGTAAATTTTGGTTTATAAACCTTTTATAAAATAATATGTTGTTTATGAATAAGGGGGTATAACTTTTTATACCCTCCTACACCACTGTAGTGGGGAGTGTATTATGCGTTTGTGCCTATCAATCGGCTCAGAATTTGTCTGTCTGTGTTTTCATGTACACCTTGTGCGCACGCTATAGGTCGGAATTTTCAACATAATTTGATGAAATTTGGCACATACTCTTCTTTTAACCCAAGGACGAAAATAGTTAAAATCGGTCCTTCATACAACAGTACCCCCCAAATAAGGCTTTTGAATTCATAATTATGTTAAATGTTCTACTATATTTTATAAAACTCTAAATGATACTGCATATGGTGGGCCTTCCCCGACTATACACTCATACTTGTTGAAGGGGGAAAGAAACTGACACAGAACTAATCCAATAATGTTTTTCTTAGATACCGATTTTGTCACCTTAACCTGACGAAGACCTTGATATATCAAACTCTTATAACTGAACTGATTATATGACCATAAGTGTAAGTTTGCCAACTACATCACTTGGTTTCTAGACTTTTACCCTTTTACGCAATTAAAAGTCCACATAATTTTTCATTAAACATACAATATTTTATTTATTTAAAGAAGCTTTTCTTAAATAATTAACATTGATTTAATTATAATTTACTTCTTGTTTCCTTCGAGAATTAACCCTATTAATTTAGTTTTCTTAATTTCATTAATAAACTGTTAGTTGTTGGTTTATTTAAGCAATACTTTTTTTTAACATGATAATAATACATTCATAGAAATGTACAATTCGTGTGTTTCTTTAATATTTTTGTTTTCTTTTTTTTAAGTTTAAAACTAAATAAATTTAACAATAAATATAACGATTAATAAAAATTACAATTATGTTTATAATTTTTCAAAAAATAATTTTCTCTTTTCTTGTTTGCCTTACAATTAAATCGAAAAGATTGTGTGGAATTCGTAAGTGATTAGTTTTGGTTTTTTTGTTTTAAATCTAGATAAATGTTTTTTTTTACAACTTAGCGTTTAACAAAGCAAATAATAGCAATGTGGTTGGTATACTTTTTAACTTGGCTTAAATTTTAGAAATTTCTTGAAAATTTTTGGATTAAGTTTTCTTGTTTTTAATGTGTAATTTAAAATTAAATCTTAAACTTTTCGGTTGACTTAAAAATCATAAGAGTTGGCCTCATCATCACCCTTGCGTACTTTGAAAACTAATTTATAGAGTATAGCAGCCACAACAGCACCAGCAAAGGGACCCACCCAATAGACCCAGTGATCAACCCACATGTTTTGTACTACAGAGGGGCCAAAAGAACGAGCTGGGTTCATGCTAGCGCCAGTGAGATTAATCTTAAATTGAAATAGAATAGTTTTAAAACAGCTTTAATAAGAAATCGATCAGGATATTGCCCTTACCGCACACAAATGACCAGCGGCTATGGATAAGCCAACAGCCAAGGGAGCAGAACCTTTAATATCGGTGCGACCGGGATCGGAAACAGCTTTAACAACAAATACCAAAATGAATGTAATCAAAGCTTCAATGAGTACAGCTTGACCCACTGTCAGAGAGCTAGCATAACCGGATACACCCAATTCAGGACCACCCACTACTTCAGAGACACCAACCTGAAATTAAAATATAAGTTTTTATGATCTATAAAGATTTTTTGCAATGAAAATGTACCTTGATAACGGCAGCACCGGCAATAGCGCCTACACATTGTACAGCTATATAGAGGGCACTTTTGATTATACTCATTTCGCCAACAACCAGAAAGCCAAGGGTAACAGCTGGATTAATATGACAACCGGAAATATGACCAATGGCCTGAAATTAAAAAGAATAGTAAAATGCGAAAATTATATTTTTATTCAAGCTTTAGGTGACCATTTCAAAGTAAAATTGTGTATAAACAAGTAAGAATGTATATTCGGGCATGGCCGACCATATGATACCCTACACCAGTAAGTATGTTAAAAATGTAAATTATTTTTCTAATAATAAAGCATTTTTCATTAATTCCGAAATATTTTAGGTGATTTTTTGAAAGAGGTGTTATATGGGGGCAAACGTCCTTTCCTTATAAATCTTGGTAGAGCTATATACGATGACATTAAAGTTATTTATGCAGAATTTCATCGCGATACTAGTGATTAAATGTGAATTTTCACCTTTAGGTAATTTTCTGTAGGGCACTTTTCGAAATAATGGACCGATTTCAACAATTTTCAATTCGTTTAAATTTTATTAAATTATCTTGAAAATTGAGACCTGTAGCGTGCGCACAAGGTTTACATGGACACATAAACAAACGGACACATAGACAGCTTAATCGACTCAGAAAGTGATTCTGAGCCGATTGGTATACTTTAAGGTGTAGGACCAATATTTAAGGGTATTAAAAACATTAGCACAAACGCATAATATCCACTATAGTGATGTAGGGTGTGAAAAAGAAATTTTTGTATAAAGAAACAGATTATAATATGTCCGATAATTATCAGACATATTAGATTAAAATAAATCGAGAATTTTTTAAAGTATAAATATACATTTTTTAAAAAATTTTCTCGAAACTTTCACAGTGTATTTCCTGTACAACTACTTACTTTTCAATGACTACTAGATAACGTCTGTATTATTTTTAAGCATTTTTATAATGACTTATAACAAATTTCAATATTCAACCGACTCTGATCAAAGGTCTATAAATACGCTATGGAATATTTCTAAACGGTTTTGATTAATGAGCAATTAAAAGTTTATTATCAAATATGTTTTATAAACTTAATTATTAAACCAATTGAAATTTGAATTTACCAATGAGTTATAAAATTTGATTAATCGCTTACGAAAAATCATGTGAATCATGTCATCAATATTTTACGCATGAAATATGAATTGTAACAAATATTTAATAATGTTTTTATATAAATATTCGTACTTTAAGTAGGAATTTTAAACAAGTTCCTAAAAAAAACCTTCATACAAAAAAGGCAACTTTTTTTATTATTATTACTTTTGTACATTCCCTGAAGAAAACTTTACTTCATTATTTATCACTTTGCTCTACTTTCCTTTTTAAAATAAAATCTCTTCATAAATTATTAAAAATCGCAAAACTTTATTTAAGTGAATACGTAAAATTATTTACTGCAATTTTGCGTATTATAAATTTTCATTCAACAAAAAAAAAAAGTTTAAATACAAACAGAATTATAGCGCGAAAATAAAACAAAAATCATTTATAGTCAATATATGACAAGATTTTAGTTTATTTTTATTTATTTTTTCAATTCTTGAAACGCATAAAAATTTAACCTACATTCAACAGGTACTCCACCACTCGTCTGCGATTCTAAAATGTGTATATTTTTTTTATTCTTTTATAAAAAAAAATATTAATGTAAGACCGTATGTATGTACATTGAAAAAAATGTATGACTGTCTATATTTATATGAAAGTATGAATACGTACGTACGCAAGTGTGTATGTTTGTATGATTCTGAAATTTATAAGTACTTTTAGCATAAATGAACTCATTTAATATGCAAACAACATTTACTTTAATATATATTTCTTTTTGGGGATTTAAATTTGTGTGGTACCCTATGTTCGATGAAAAGAGAACTGAAAAGAAAATTATCGATAAAAAATAGTATTTGAAGTATTTTTTTTACACATTGTGCACAAATAGAGACTTTATTGAGCAAAAACTTGGTAATGAATTCTACATAACAACTTATTTTTTAATGGCGTCTACATAACTTTTGGCATTATTTCTAAGGAGTCTATTAAGTCTCAGTCTATAGTCTAGTCTATAGTCTAGTCTCTATAGTCTAGTCTATGTCTAGTCTAGTTAAGGTCTAGTCTATAGTCTAGTCTATAGTTAGTCTATAGTCTAGTCTATAGTCTAGTCTATAGTCTAGTCTATAGTCTAGTCTATAGTCTAGTCTATAGTCTAGTCTATAGTCTAGTCTATAGTCTAGTCTATAGTCTAGTCTATAGTCTAGTCTATAGTCTAGTCTATAGTCTAGTCTATAGTCTAGTCTATAGTATAGTCTATAGTCTAGTCTATAGTCTAGTCTATAGTCTAGTCTATAGTCTAGTCTATAGTCTAGTCTATGTCTAGTCATAGTCTAGTCTATAGTCTAGTCTATAGTCTAGTCTATAGTCTAGTCTATAGTCTAGTCTATAGTCTAGTCTATAGTCTAGTCTATAGTCTAGTCTATAGTCTAGTCTATAGTCTAGTCTTAGTCTAGTCTATAGTCTAGTCTATAGTCTAGTCTATAGTCTAGTCTATAGTCTAGTCTATAGTCTAGTCTATAGTCTAGTCTATAGTCTAGTCTATAGTCTAGTCTATAGTCTAGTCTATAGTCTAGTCTATAGTCTAGTCTATAGTCTAGTCTATAGTCTAGTCTATAGTCTAGTCTATAGTCTAGTCTATAGTCTAGTCCAGTCTATAGTCTAGTCTATAGTCTAGTCTATAGTCTAGTCTATAGTCTAGTCTAGTCTATAGTCTAGTCTATAGTCTAGTCTAGTCTAGTCTATAGTCTAGTCTATAGTCTAGTCTATAGTCTAGTCTATAGTCTAGTCTATAGTCTAGTCTATAGTCTAGTCTATAGTCTAGTCTATAGTCTAGTCTATAGTCTAGTCTATAGTCTAGTCTATAGTCTAGTCTATAGTCTAGTCTATAGTCTAGTCTATAGTCTAGTCTATAGTCTAGTCTAGTCTATAGTCTAGTCTATAGTCTAGTCTATAGTCTAGTCTATAGTCTAGTCTATAGTCTAGTCTATAGTCTAGTCTATAGTCTATAGTCTAGTCTATAGGTTCTAGTCTATAGTCTAGTCTATAGTCTAGTCTATAGTCTAGTCTATAGTCTTAGTCTATAGTCTAGTCATAGTCTAGTCTATAGTCTAGTCTATAGTCTAGTCTATAGTATAGTCTATAGTCTAGTCTATAGTCTAGTCTATAGTCTAGTCTATAGTCTAGTCTATAGTCTAGTTCTATAGTCTAGTCTATAGTCTAGTCTATAGTCTAGTCTATAGTCTAGTCTATAGTCTAGTCTATAGTCTAGTCTATAGTCTAGTCTATAGTCTAGTCTATAGTCTAGTCTATAGTCTAGTCTATAGTCTAGTCTAGTAGTCTAGTCTATAGTCTAGTCTATAGTCTAGTCTATAGTCTAGTCTATAGTCTAGTCTATAGTCTAGTCTATAGTCTAGTCATAGTCTAGTCTATAGTCTAGTCTATAGTCTAGTCTATAGTCTAGTCTATAGTCTAGTCTATAGTCTAGTCTATAGTCTAGTCTATAGTAGTCTATAGTCTCTAGTCTAGTCTATAGTCTAGTCTATAGTCTAGTCTAGTCTAGTCTAGTCTATAGTCTAGCCTATAGTCGAGTCTATAGTCTAGTCTATAGTCTAGTCTATAGTCTAGTCTATAGTCTAGTCTATAGTCTAGTCTATAGTCTAGTCTATAGTGTAGTCTATAGTCTAGTCTATAGTCTAGTCTATAGTCTAGTCTATAGTCTAGTCTATAGTCTAGTCTATAGTCTAGTCTATAGTCTAGTCTATAGTCTAGTCTATAGTCTAGTCTATAGTCTAGTCTATAGTCTAGTCTATAGTCTAGTCTATAGTCTAGTCTATAGTCTAGTCTATAGTCTAGTCTATAGTCTAGTCTATAGTCTAGTCTATAGTCTAGTCTATAGTCTAGTCTATAGTCTAGTCTATAGTCTAGTCTATAGTCTAGTCTATAGTCTAGTCTAGTCTAGTCTATAGTCTAGTCTATAGTCTAGTCTATAGTCTAGTCTATAGTCTAGTCTATAGTCTAGTCTATAGTCTAGTCTATAGTCTAGTCTATAGTCTAGTCTATAGTCTAGTCTATAGTCTAGTCTATAGTCTAGTCTATAGTCTAGTCTATAGTCTAGTCTATAGTCTAGTCTATAGTCTAGTCTATAGTCTAGTCTATAGTCTAGTCTATAGTCTAGTCTATAGTCTAGTCTATAGTCTAGTCTATAGTCTAGTCTATAGTCTAGTCTATAGTCTAGTCTATAGTCTAGTCTATAGTCTAGTCTATAGTCTAGTCTATAGTCTAGTCTATAGTCTAGTCTATAGTCTAGTCTATAGTCTAGTCTATAGTCTAGTCTATAGTCTAGTCTATAGTCTAGTCTATAGTCTAGTCTATAGTCTAGTCTATAGTCTAGTCTATAGTCTAGTCTATAGTCTAGTCTATAGTCTAGTCTATAGTCTAGTCTAGTCTATAGTCTAGTCTATAGTCTAGTCTAGTCTAAACTTATGTATGTCCATCCCACTATAAAACTTAAAAATAAAATTTTATGGATTTTAATCAAATATGCATATTTTCTTAACATTTCAATAAAGTGAATGAAAGATATTGAGTTTAACATACATTCGATTGATTCTCACAAAGAATCACATATTTAAATCTTGTAATATAGTTTCAAGACAAAGAAATCGTGAAAAAAATATAAATTATATAAAGAAATATGAGCGATAAATAACGTTAAATGTTAATTTACAGACGCACGCACATAAATACAAACAATTTATAAATAAATGATAAACAAATCATTTAAACAATTTATTGTATTTTTGTGCAAACCGAAAAAAATGCATTTAAGCCACGAAAATAACAGAATTTCATCAATGTATACGAATCTGATTTTAGTTGTGGGATTTAAAAACAACCCAGCAGTTTTACTAGGAGTCAATGATATGAATTTTTATTAAAATATATATACTTTTGGTTCGTTTGTCATGTTGGTGTTCCTGCTAAGGCAAAGAAGAAGTCTCTTGTTACTATTTTTCAT